CAGAATTTAACGTGCAATTTCTTTTCTCTTTGTTTTCACATTTATTGCTTTAGATAAACGTTGTTACTGATGTAAATGGTCACCAAATCAAAGTTTAATCATTTTAATGCATGAGGTATATCTGGACCACGCAGAAGCTTTGTTAGGATGCATTAATATTTTATGCAGGAAGTAGTGCAGAAACGCTGCAGAAGTAGTTGATGAATTGGCCAGCAGCTTTTTTTCTGTGCAAAAGTATATTCTTGTTTTTTGAAACGATTTGAGTGTAAATTATATTGTATCCACTTTTTAATTTGATTAAGTTGGGGCATAATTTGGGACTTTTACAATCCTTTAGCATACTATCTATTTAAGTGAGTTGAAATTGAATTCAGTTTTATTTAAAAAAAAAAAAATAATACACTTAGTCTATGATTTAATAAGATGATATTTGTGCATTTGCGCATAGGTTGAGATTTTTTTGGATAGATTATTTTTGTCTGATTTAAAAAAAAAATTGATCTTAGGGATATTTCAGAACTTTAAATTCTGAAACATTTTAGTTCAACAAGAACAAAAAATGAAAAAAGAATGAATCTTCAAGGGTGGAACACTTTTTCACAGAATAATATCTGCCTACCAACCAGTTTTGCTCCTTTTACTTGATGTTTTGGACTGTCAACAAAGTTGTTTGGTTTGTCAGAAGTGTGTCACTTTGTGTTACCTCTCCGTTTGCGTCTGGGGAGACACGGCACGGAACAAAGAGCCCGTCGTCTGAAGCCGGTGTGCCGTTACGCTCACTGAGAGTTCACCTGAAACACTGCACCCATGGCTCCAGGTAACGGGTCCTTCTGACTGATGCCCCGCTGGAATTCTTTGACTTTATCAGAGGAAGAATCTGAACTTTGTGAATGGCAATACACACAGGCGGTGACACATCCTTACCCAGTTACAAGGTTCCTCTCATTAATCACATTAATCAGACTTGGCAGATCCCAATATTTAAACACAAGTGAGTTTTGCGATGTGTATTCACAAAGAAAAATCTGTTTTTTTTTTTGCTTGTTTTATTATTTCAACACATGTACCCCAAACGTGCTTTGAAGATGTGCGGTACACCTGCTGGCCTGAAAGGTAAAGGATAAAGAAACCAGTGGAGATCAGTATCAGCAGCATGAACCTTCTTGCTTTGTGGAGACTTTTGGCAGATGGTAAATAAGAAGGAGTTTGTCTGAAACACGAGGAGTGATGTCATTCAAATAACTCCCAACATCTCTGAAAAAGAGAGCGGCAGCCCAGGGTAGACACTGATAGGTGAGCTCTCAGCCCCTTCTGTTCCACCCAGCCTTCGCCCCAAGGGCGCTGTCCTCAACATAAAGTGCTACAGACGCCCACAGTCACACAAACACTCAGGCCTGTTGGTGCTTGAAATGATAGTTATTATGGTGTACTTGTGAACAGTTTACAAGGAAAGGTGAGATATAATTTTATTAGCTATTGATCTGTTTCTTGCTGGCTTGTTGAAGATTGTGAAGCTGTGACAAACTGTAATTCCATCGGCTCACTAAAGAAGACACAAAGATTACTTAATGATGCTGTAGAGTATTTCTTTATTTTTTTATTTATTTTATTTATTTTTTTTTTTTTGCCGACAGCTAATGAAAACGCAAAATACAAGATTAGAACATTTCATTACAGAAATATGAACTTAATATAAAAACTGTTACATCGTTACAGGATGTTTTGTTCAAAAACTATTATTTTCTGACCACAATTGTCATCAAAGCATATTCTGATTTATTGAAAATGACTGTCAGAAAAAAATTTTTTCTTCAACTTTATTATTGTATGCATCTTTATGATGGTCTATTATAAAAATCCAATAAAAAGTGATGCTCAATTTTTATTGCGAAACAAAAAATGTAAAAGGTCTAACAATTGTGAAAATATCTGCAAAACACTGTTGCTCCTCCTTTATGACTTGTTTGTCTGTTGTAAATTTGACAGTGTCGTCTTTTGCTCCAGACTGTTGCTTTACATGACTTTAAGAGCATCATGCTGTACCAGTTCCTGAATCTATTAATCTATTTGGATTAGAAAAACATCTGCCACACAGGAACACTACCTGTGATTTTCAGGCAAAGGTGGCAGGAATCTTCCCTCTTATTTCAGCAACATATAACTTCCTTCATATTTTTTTTTTTTGCTTTGTTTTGTTTTGGTTTTTTTGGCTTAATAATATTAACTGATGCAATGATTAAACATAAACTTTGCCAGAATGCTTCTAGGTGATTTTGATCTTCTGCAATCTGCGGTAAAATCTCCAAATTATGTTTCTCGTCTCATCATCTGTTCTGTTTGAAAGATACAGAAGCTGCATAGTCTGACCCACAGAAGATAAACGCCTAGCTTTCTGTGCCTAAAATTAGTTAATTGCTGATTAGCGATGATTACACTTGGCTGTAATTTGTTAGAATAATTCCACTCTGACATTCTTGCCTTGGTTTGTAAACCTCTGAGCCACCAGCTGTCACAAAGCTACTTTTTCATGCATCCCAAATTAATAGACACTTGCTGACTCTGAAGTGGCCTGATGCTATTGTAACACAAGCCATGTGGCATCCGGCCAAGGCTGCAATATAAGACACAATTGTTTTGTCTTTTTGTCCTTTTTTTTTCCCCCTCTATCTTCCTACCTCGCTTTTTAATGCACACTAATAAGCAAGTAAATGGTGGAAAGATGTGTGTGTGAAATCATGGCAGCCTTTGTTGCAGATAATTAGGTTAGCAGCGAGAGCGTGCAGGTGCTGAGGGTGTGCTGTGTGCTTGTGGTGTGTTATCGACTTGCTCATAGGCTGTCAGGGGTGTCGCACTTCCCATCAGCCCCGAAGCTCAGCAACCTCTTCACTATTAAAATGATCACTTTCAATAGCAGACAAAAGAAAGAGGGAACATATCTAGTGCAGGGTATTTTCCCCACCTCTAATGCTTATCTGCCTTTTGATGTCGCCGTAATAAAAGGCCCATTGGGCTTCCACAATGACCTGCAAAATGGACAAGGGGCCGATATACTAGGCTCTGACTGTCGCTAGCATTAACTAAAAGGCCCAGACATTATGGAGAGCCGGGGATGAAAGTACATAGAAAAAAAAAATAATTGAAAAATTGCCTAATGCTAAAGTGAAAGAAAATGGAACTGTGAAAAGGCACTGTAATATTCTGTTATCCTCAGTAAATGCAGCCAAACAAGAGATGTGGCATGGCATTCTTTTTGAAATGGATGTGGTTCAATTACCTGCATGTCTAAATCTAGTTAAGGCCGTCATTGTCAGGCTTGAAACATAACAGGCAGTTTTGATGTAGTGTTAAAGCGAATTATGCCCTACAACCTACAGAAAATCATGGGAGGGATGACTCCATTCAAGATGTGGAGAGAAATTAAAGCTCATACTGAGAATAGGGTTAATTTTATATTTATTCAGTTCCGGGCTTCTGTTTGGATCTCAGTTCTGACTGAGAGGCTCGGTGTTTAAAACAGCCGATTGGAAAGGTTACAGTTGAATAGTTAATTTGATTTTAAATAGAGGCATGATTCTTTCCACATGTAACGTGCTACCAGCACAAATTGACAAATGTATTGCCGCATCTACTAAAAATAGGTAAAGTGACTTAAAATGCATTACTCTTTTAGTCCAGCACCATAATCCAACTCTAATTTAAGCACAATTATTTCTCTTCAGAAATAATTAACACAATCATCTTTGGCACAACTGTTGATACTCCTGCTGTTACTGCTTTGTACAAATATCCTGTTTGCACTTACTGTTGTCTGTTCCTCTGACTTTTGAGAAGACCTGTGTATACAGAGAGGGGAATCTTTGGCGGGTCCTAATTGTACAATCTCACAAGGCATTCCAGAATCCTAGGTCCTCCATTATACTCTCTTTTCTTTAGCTCACTTCAGAGGGATTTTGTATGATTTAGGCTGGGAAGGCTATGTAAGAAGGTCATATGCATTTGGCCAGCATCCTGCATCGCCTTCATTAATGACCCATTTCTATGTTACTTTCAAGAGTCTGTGATCATTTTATCCAGAATCCCAAGATTTAATAATATTACACACACTAAGAAGCAGTGAAGGTCTTTGGAAGAGAAAAAGGCCTACAGCATCACACAGTCACCACTATTTAAGTACGTTTGGGGTGCTTTGGCTCCCTTTACACTAGACTTACTTGAAGTGGAGAGATGGAAAATTATCATATTGTTGCCTATCATTTGGGGATAGATGTTGCTGTGGGAGGAACTGTGATGATAAACAAATCTACTATCCCTCAATGTGATTGGGATTCAAAACTTTGCTGCTATTTAATTGTTGTTCCATACGATATTATAAATACACACAATTATGTTTGAAAATACAAAGATGTTTGAAAAAAAATCCAGATTTTGTGCAGTCATTTGTTGTATTGTTGCACCACTTAATGTAACAATAACTGACGATGCCCATTTGATCATTAGTAGTTTTGATTTCTCATATTTGTATTTGTGAGGCTCTGACTGCATGCAGGTCATATAAATGATTTTATTGCTATCATTACAAATATGTTCCTCAAGTAACTTTTATTGATTGCAGAAATAGCTAAATTTGTCAAGAGGCTTTTTTCCCGTAGCTATGTCATAACTTACAAAAACACATCTACCTTACTTAAACGTTGTTTTTGTTTTGAAGAGTTGATAAAGGAAGGAAAATGTTTAAATCACAGAAAAATATTTTTAGATCCTCTGATCGACATGAAGCAGTGAATATTCCCAGTAGGAACACAGTGTTTATCCTACAGGCCAGAAGCTAAGCATCATTTTAGTTCAAGGTGTTACAGACATGTTCATAGCAGTAAAAAATAACAATTCCCATCATGATTTCTTTAAGATCATGTACATTAGTAGTCTTCATTTAAAATTCTTGCACCCTGATCCTTTATTTTCTGTATTAAAGGTGTGTTTTTCCGCTTTCTACTCCTCAGGTAACCGTTAAAATGTATAAACGAGGTCCTCACGGCTGGCTGGGTAAAACCCTGAATGCCACCGCCATCATCCCTTCCAACACCTTTGTGATCTTCAGAGTTAGTGGCGAGGAATCTGATGCCAAAATCCCAGCGAATACTATTCACAGTATCACACTGAGCATATGACACGGTGGAGGCGATCAAAGGATTAATGGAAGCTTTCTGAATGAATAACGTGCCTATGCAAAAAAAGACAAACAAAAAAAAAAAAAAATTTTATGAATGAATGTTTCTCCATGCAGACATGGCACTTTGTTGTGTGTTGCTAACATATTCCACATGTCTTTGTGTGAGCACACTTTGAAAAAGATCCCATTTGCAATTTTTTCTGCTTAATTCTGAGAGTGAACATGATGTTAATGAGATTTTTGACAATTAGCCTGATTAACTTTGTCGTGTTTTGAATTTCCAGGGCCGACCCCCACTTTGCACGAGCTGTTAATTAACCATTATTCCTGCTGACTGGGTCACATCAGTTTGAGCAGAGAGTGTTTAATGTGCTAATTGTGGCTGTTAAAACGGGTGGCCTCAGCTCGATGAGGATCCAGGATGTCACTGTTTCAGTGGGTTTTATAGGAAGTTATTTACAGACTGTTAAGAGAAAGTAAATGTTTTTGATATCTTAATGTGCTCCACTGCTCAGATGAAATTATGCAGTTCCATGGTTTTATTTTGTAGTGGGAAAAAATTGTGATAGGGTGACCTCAAGATAATGCAGTAGAATGAACTTTCTGTGGTGATGGGATCCCCTTTGGCTAAAGTGTATCCATACTTCTGCAGATTTTTTAATGTGTTGTCAGAGGAAGAATTTAAAAATCAAAACCACTTGTTTGCATGGATTTAGTCTTGGCATTGAGCAATTGAAAACATTGAGGTAAACCAAAGCTTTTATTAGTTACTGTGTAAAAATGCTAAAATGTTCCTGTGGTTTAAAGTCCTTTTTATCAGATGCCAGTGATGGAGGGATGGCAGTTTTTTTTTCGTGCTGTTTCCGGCATAGAATAATGCTATTCTGGACCTTTCGGTGGTTGTTGCATGCTGCCAGTCAGCTGGCTAAAACGACATTTTAGCTATATTTCTAAACAAATGCCTATTAAAAACATTATTATATTTATACAGTTAAGTTTAAAGTATAAAGATTTTAGCAGATGGCAGATTTTAGTTTAATCTTTACATTTTTCTAACGTATTGTTTGATTAGAGGGAATATTTTGGAGTGACCAATCCAGTCAAGTATTCCAAAATAATGTGATAGAGAATCTATGAAGAATGGTAAAGATTAGGGTGATTACAGAGAAGCCTCTGGACCTCCTGGCATGAGGTAACTGGGCAGACATCTTAGTAAAAACATGTAAAATCTTGCCAACAATGACTACGTTAACATGTTCAAGTTGTGACAAAATTTCTTGTGTAAAAGCGAATTATGCCCTATGCAAAATACAAAAGCAATTAAAACAGTTTTTATTTCATCAATTTTATTTTTTCACAATTTTCTGTCAATACCATAAAACTTCGAAGAATTATTGTACTGTTAGAATCTCACATCTCAATCCGGGAACATCTTTAAACGACATCAGTGTAACTTGATGAATTGATTGTATTCCTTAAATTAAAGCCAAATGGTCAACAGCTATTTTATGAACAGCATTGGCTAAAAGATATTTAGAAAAATTGGCAAAATGATGACAAAGAAGACTAATAATGATTTGATTTGATGCATGATCATGATTTTAATTTATTTTTGCTCCCTATTGAACACCTTTCAGTCTTTCTTCATGAAACTTTAAGCGATTCATAGAAATGGATTGTCATTATTTTCTTTAGCAGATTTGTTTATGCAATATTATGTTGGTTTTTAAGCCATTGTTTTTTAATTTGTGATATAATAAAGGTTTTTCATTGTTTAGCAATAACATTTTTCTCTCTTTTTTTGGGTCCATGTGACTTTTGTTTTTTATTAGTTTGGGTTCTGTACATTGACAAAACAGTTTTCTTTAATTTGCTTTGTATTTCAGTGAATTTATAGATGATTTTCAGGACGGTATTTATTTCTCATCATTGCTTCATAAAATCTGTCAGCTGTACGTCCAGCAAATGATTGTGTTTACAAAGTATGGACTCAGAAGGGCTGAATATAAAATAATTATAAAGAACAATTTTCCTTTTTTATTTGTAAAACATTTTGAAAGCCATTATTTTCCTTCTGTTCCATAACTAAACCCTACCTCATTTTTTATATTTAAAAAACTCCCAGTAAAATGCATCGGAGTTTGTGGACGTAACATGAGACATGTACTTATATCCTGTCAGAAATATTCAGTAAGACCTATGACGGATATGTATTAGTGAAACTACCTGTGCGTGCAATCATTTGTCACAACTGGGCCATAATGCTTCTTCAAAACATTATTAGGGAGACTGAGGATATCAATCAACAACTCACTCTTTGAAAGCATGCAGCATGTCTCCAGTGTGGTTAAAAAACTGGGGATTAAGGATGGATGACTGGTCATGGGGACAAAGAAAACCCTGTTGGGCTATGCGGCCGTGACTGGGAGGGGAAGCTGAGCGGAAATGGACAAGGGGATCAGACTAGAACAGAGTGTGACAAGGTAACAAGGTAAACCGATCCAGCCTGCACTCCCTACAGAAGCCATCAATGAGGGTCTCTATTAAAACAGAAACCCTCTTTGAATGTCAGGTTGGAGTGAAAATTTCTTGCTGAATAAAATGAACTGCAACTATGCTGCAGTTTTTTTTCTTCCACTAAACCAGAAGAACATTACAAGAGAGTCAGCTGATCACCTCTAACGTGAGCAATGAGTCATCAAACTGAGGTGGGAAAAAGCAGAACTCTGGCCTTTCAACGTCAACGTGAACCTGGACCAGGAGGTTTTCCAGGTCAGGTGACTCATTTGACCCCCTGCTGGACAGAAAGGGAAAATCACTCCCAAATGACACTTGATACTAAACACCTGCATGAGTTCATTTAACATCTAATGAGCATTTCAAAATATTTGCTCGGTCGGTAACGAGAAGAAAATTCTCAAGATCTTCAACATCATATCCAATTTTATATCATTTGGTTGAATTTGATGGTGAACGATCACAAGTACACATCAAACCTTGCTTGGGAACAAATAAATCACTGCGGATTCGTACATTCGCTGGGATTTTATTTATATTTTGGCCCATATAGGAGAAAATCCATGATAAATTCAACCCTAGGCACAAAATGATTGTTCAATGTTACAAGAAATACAAATGTCTGAATGGATGTTATGAAGGGGACACTAGTTGAACTTTCAAGATTGGTGAAATTTAGTGACGGTCACAAATGGAACTCTGTGCAGAGCTCCATGCAGCCCTGGACCAGCTGTGGAAGTAATGCAGCATATAGTAGCTGAACTGTGAAATAAAATAGCTGTTAAGCAGCTGTATTTAACCCATTAGCACCTGATGATACATATGGCTATAGTGGTTCCCATTTTCAGAGGATGCCTCAACTCTTAATGGGTTAATACAAAACTCGTGTGTGAGGGGGTTAAGAGAGCCTGTAAGAATAATGGATCAATGAAACACAGTCAAAAACCTCTGAATGCATTTTACAACAGGATAAAAGTGTAATTGTGGCAAAAATACAACTGCAAGCTACATTTTGCAGGCTTTTATACAACCACTCGAGCGTGATGATGAAAGGAAGGACAAGCCATCTCTTTTCATCCACCGACCTCTGTTCTGTCTCTGCAAAGCTCCCCAAGTGTGAAAAGCAGAATTCATCAGAGATTAAATGTTTTTTTTATTATTATTATTATTTTACTTCTTACAGATGCTTTAGAATAAAAATCAGTGAAATGCTGTGAAATCTTAGTTTTTACGCACCGACATAAAAACAAAAGGTATTTTTGCCATTGTGTTTTCACAAAATAAACAAATAATGACATGGCCACGCAAGGCAGCTTCAGGTAAGAGGTTTCCAGAAATTAGCCAGGTTTTGAAACAACCCCTCAAAAGGCACTGCACTTTACAGGACAACAAAGGACACGCAGCAGTGAATGAAGTGAAGCTTTCTTGCCAATTAGTGCTGCGAATGATGGGGCTTTCTGTGCTTCACACAAACCAATGTCTTTTCTTCTCTGTCCCCGGGCTATTGAGAGGGGATACATTAGCCAGGAGGGATGGATGTATGGTGGAGAGGGAGTGGAGCACAGAGTTCGCAGTCATACAGCTCACTTCACGCCTGGTGCTTTAGCCCTCTCTTATGATTTCACTCCCAGTGCTCTCACGCAGCCTGATTTTTACCACGTTGCTTGCTGTTACCCTTTTGAACAGAAAAAAAAAACAACACACAAGAAAAACATCTATTCAGTTTTACCTCGTCTTTGTCTCATTGGTAATTTCTCATTGAGCAGATTCAAATCTACTTTGGCGTGCAAAAGTATTCATAACTGTTGAACTTTCCCACATTTTGTCATGTTACAACATCAAACCTTAAACTGGCATCACACCTGCACTGAACAGCTACCACAAAGTTCAGAGTATAATTCTGAATTCAATGAAAATGTGTATTAGAATCAAAAATCTCCAAAATGTTGTGTGATTTAATCTCATTAGAAACCCATGTGTTCTGTGAAGGCCTCAGATGAACATTAGAAAACAAATAGCATAATGAGGGCCAGAAAATTGACAAAACAAGTCAGAGATAAAACTCTGGAGAACATTAAAGCAGGGTTGGGTTCAATAACAATACCCGAAATTAATATCTTCTTATCTCAATAACATAATATGAATCTAATGGAGAAATGTTGAGTCTAATGTTGGAATATTTAAAGAGTTTGATACAACTACAAACCTCAGACATAGCCATGCACTGAAACCAGGAAGAATGTGGAGGTTCAACAAAGCTCAACATTTAGTCAGAGCTACAAAAAACACGAAAATATAGTACAAACTTAATTCAGTAAAAATAAATTAAATGAGAGATTTAGGCATTTTTCATGACTATGTCCAAAAGATCATTGCCTATATTTTATTTGGGCGTTATCATGCTAAAAGGGATCCAATTCAATAGAAGACCACAAAGATTTGTACAAAATTTGAAAACTATCATTTTCATTCCATGTCACAATTCTGAACTACTTTGTGTTTGTCTATCAGGAAATCCCCTGCATTAAAGCTTGTGGTTGTACTAGAAACAGCAAATTAATCAAAATAATTATGTCACAGCTAAATCCACCTTCAGTGTGATTTTGGACCACCTCACTGCTCAAGTCTTCACAAGCTCTGCAGAGTTGCAGTTGTGTGCTTATAAATCCAATTCTTGATGCTGTGGATCCATCATGCTGTTTCATTAACACTGTCCCCTGACCTGTTCCACATAATGTTGTAAAAATGTGTCAGGTGCCGGATTATCGGGAGAAATGATGATCAATATCTGAATGGGAGAGTGCTGTGTGTGATGCTGCTGGCAGGGGCTGCCCGAATAAACCTCCATCCAGCGTTCTGCCGCCTGGCACAAAACTGAAAAAGAAAAAAAACATATGGACCTGCCCGAGGCAACAGCCATCAATAATAAAATAATGTGTGTGTACGATGATGAATTAGGACCAGACTTCTCAATGCCCCGCTGCAGCGCACATAGAAGCATTGTTAGATGAGTGGATTGATCTCCTGCATTCACATTACTTTGCCTAATCTGCGATTGAGCCGATGGGGCAGAGCACTGTTTCACTTTAGCCAAATTCAGAAACGGTAATAATGTCCAATAATCAAAAGCTATTTATGAAAATACTTACTTTTTGCGGCATTGATTTGCCTCCATAATGCAGGACAAACACTGATCACTCAGACAGAATGCACTTAGAAAGTGACAAATGTACTTTATATTCAATATCATAGATTTTAGAAGAAGGAGTAAACACATTGTGGAACAAAATGAAAAAGCAATTTTTTCCACTTCTATAATAAAGGACATTAAATTGGTGAAAGGGGAACTCAAAACATGCTGTTGGACTCTAAAAGAAAATATTGCAATACCTAACATCAATTTCATTTCTAATTTAAATGCTTTAACAATGTTGCGAATTTGTCAATCTCAGCTTTTGTTGTATTTAACATAGGATATAACTTAAAACAATTCAAGAAATTTGAGGTAGTCAAAATTTCTCTAAAGGGATTTAAAAGACTTTGTCTCAGAGAGCCAGGTTTGGTTGCATAGCTTTTTCATTTTTTGAATGAAATCCTGATATAAATGAAACTTTATCTGTTTATTCATGGGAGAGTGCTGTGTGTGATGCTGCTGGCAGCATCACACACATAATGTATTTGTATTCATGTAAAACACTTATCTTGTCTGATACAAAAAAATTGTTTAATGATCTAAAATATTTAAGTGTGATAGAAATAGCAGAAGCGTGTAGATTTATGCTCCATTAGACTGATATGTCGATGATTTAGGAGCAAAATTACAGTTTGTGAAAATATAAATATACATGTGTAGCTTTAATATATGTGATATAATGTATTTGTATTCATGTAAAACCTGAATTACAATTTTGATTGAGAATTTCCATGTAAACCCCCCAACAAATATATGAATAGGCTTTGGTGTAAATGTTCCTGTCTGGCAAATATATCCATAATATCAGTTGGTTTTGAACTAATTGCTTAAATGTCAGTGGATGAAGCATAAAACTAATCAATTAATGATGTTATGAGACATATATGAAAGATAAAAGCAGACATAATTGCGTCATATTGATCTGGATACACGGCTCTGTCAGACATCCTCTGAGACACTTGTGTCAACAGCTGTGTAACTAAATAACCAAAAGCATTTCCGACAAATAAAAATCATAATCTCAATTTTTTTATTTTTTTTTTCCCCCTTCCAAAGAGCAAAACTGCGACATCTACGCTGATAATAGCCAACTTTATGTTGTATTCTTTTGGGGATTTTGCAAGTAAGATCTATTGAGGCATCTTGAAATGGATACAAGCAGTCAGTTAAATCTTGCCCGCAGTCACTCAGGGGCGCAAGGGAAACCTGAGCCTCAAAGACTGCGGTGCATTAGTTCTGCTAAGCTAACCGTGAATGCTAATTGCGGGAAAGGACAAACTGTAACCCTTGCCCTGTGGCCATGAAGTCATTAAATAACCCAGGGAGCTCGGTAGAAACAGACAGCCTACAAAGAAAGGTACAATCTGATTTCTGTCTGAATTGAGAAAACAACTGTTTTTCCAGTCTTCTCTCTTTGGAAGTGCCAAATCTACCTGTCATTAATGCAGAAAATTCACTGAACTTTTTATTGGACACGTGTTTATGGTTCCATCCCTTGGCGACGTTCACAACCAAATCGGGTAGAATTTGACAGGGAATACCTGGGAATGTTATCAACTATTTGCACTTTTAACTTTGTTTTCCAACACCCTAAATTAAGTCTAAATGTTTCAATAAATGGATGAAATGGAGTTGGTTTTCTTAGCCTATTTTGTGTTCAATTCAATTATCCTAGAAGTTATGAAACAAAACATTTCCAAACACAACCTGATTGACCTCTGTTTCTCATCTTTATACATACATTTATCATTTTGACAGATGACATCTGAGCTCATTTAAGCCTTACAACATTGTTTAAAAAAAGTTCATAAGCTATTAAAGTAATTCAGATTAAAAAAAACATTGTAGAGATTTTTTTTAAAAAATTAAGGTTGAGTGGAAGAAAAAAGCTTGAATAAGACTAGTGGTTCAGTCACAAAGGTATCTGGGATCACGAGATGATATTGAAGCAGCACCCGTTCAAGAGTTTAGAGGAGTCATTTTATTGGAAATCAGAGTCACATACCCCGAAGATTCATTGAAAAAATACAAATAAGAATACAAATTTAAGGTTACCTTATAAGGAGATTTCAGATTGCTGAACAAGCACTCCAGCCCATTTCCCCCGCAAACCCAGAATAGAAACTTCAGACTGTGTCTAGATTAACACAAGCAATGTGACAGTTGTAGTTAATGTCCTGGATATTCTTGGTGCATCTTGACTTTTTCCTTCCACTCAACCATTTAAAATGCGTCATTTTGAACACAACCTTCTTTTTTGAAAATAAAAAAACATCGCTAAGTCATTTAAGAAGAAGTGACTCTTTGAACTGAATTACTGTAATGAATTAACTTTTCAATGATATGATTTATTAATCTCTTTTTCCTTTGTGTTGCTTTGTAGAGCAGATAGGACAATTCGTCTATGTCATTAACTCGTGTAGTGTTGATTCAGCATAACACACACTTTCTGTTCAGAATAAATGACAGAATGCTGCTTATAAAGAACCAAATCTGCGCTTTGTAATTCTGGAAAGGTTTGTAGTAACGCCAATTCCACACATCCCATTTGTCAGTTGATTCATTTTCTTCACAACACCTCAGAGCAAAACTGAAACCTCGAATCCCAAATATATTTCCCAGCTTCTTGCCACGCTGAAAGATTTGTGATTTACTGCAGTCCAGCTGCCGGGTGAGCGCACCCTTCACTAGTCAACCCACGCTGGCTGCCTGTCGGGCCTGGACAGAGATGAATGGCTGTTAGTGTGACACCTAGCAGTGAGTTACATGGCCTTGAGGTTTATCGTCTAATTAGGCTCTAATGTAACTACAATGCTCTCGAGAAGATGTTGTCTTGCCCGCCAAGGCTCTTTAAAAGCCTCCCTGGGGCAGCAGGGGACAGCTTGGAGTGAGGTCCTGTGGCAGACCACAGCCATGTCCAAGAGAAAGGGTCAGGTTTCCTGATCTTTTGCTTCAATGTTCTGGAAACAGTATGTTGCTGGTTAAAAAGGGGGGGAAAAAAAACAACTGAATTTCCAATTTGGAAAATAAACACATCTTAACTATTTATACTCAAGTTTATCAGGATCATATTTGTTCTGATCAAAATAAATGTAACAAATAAAATATATATATCTAGAACTGTGAAAAAGTAATCATGTCCATTGTTAAATCGTAAAATATCTCTGCTTTAAATATTTTTTGTTCAATTTCACAAGCAAAACCAAAGCTTGTTCACTGCCTTTGATGAGTGTTTGATACATTAGAAAAACAGATCCAAAATTTATCTGTGAAAGGTTTTTGCTCCCAAAATGACCGTGGTTAATATATACTGATGCCAAATCTGGATGCAATCTTTACAAATTTCTAAAATCTATTCAGAAATTTAGATACAAATGTCAACTATTACATCCATGAAACTATAACAATTCCCTTACAAATGGAAAAGTGTGTTTAGGAAAAAATTAAACGAAAGCATTCATTTATAATGTGAAATCCAATATTCCACCTCTACCTCTAATTATAAATAAATGAATTGTGAGCATTCTGACAACTGTCTGAAGTAATAAAATTAAAGACAAAATGTCAGTATGTTTCTGACGCGTCACATGACTTCCCATAACTTACAGCGGCTCATGAAGGATGGTATCATCGCCTTTGTATTAGAAGCCGGTCTTGAGGGATAAGGTGTCTGACTGAAGGTCATCAGTGCCCTCTTGAGTGAACATAAGAGCCCTTTGTGGTCAGGTTAAATGCACCTGACAAGCCACTGCAGCGGAGTCACCCTTTTTAATTGTCATGTAACGGTTTCATGTAGAGCCAAACTGTCTGCAACACTTCAGCCGCTGGAAACCAGAGCTCAGCCACACAAACCACACACTGGTGTGGCTATCTGGATGGGTGCCACATGAGCATTGGAAAAAAAATCGGTGGGCTTTTGTAGTAGGACACTGACAATAAAGCATAATTAAATACTTCCACTGATGTGTTAATACTATTTAAATTTAAAAGTGTCAATTTCGGTTTTATACATTCTGTTGGGAATGGATAACAAGATTTTGAAATGTGCTCTGCTTGTATATTTCATTGGTTTTTGCACATCTGGAGATTTTTTTGGCTGCTTATAAAATAATTCGAGCTCCGTCAGACGGAACAGAAAGCATCTTTGAACATCAGTTTTATAGTTTAGCCCACAAATTCTTAAATTCATGTAAGCCTGGACTTTGTCTGGGCCACTTCAATACACAAAACAAGATTCCAGATTCCCCATCTCAGGTGAAGTCAAGCTTCTCTGCATCTCGATGCTGCTACTTCCATGCCACGCACAAGGTCATATAGATATTATATAAAGGGGCCACAGTGAAGGTGCTGAACACATCTGAATGCACACCACACATTTCAGACAAATCATAAAAATCATGTGTAACCTTAATTCCACATCAAAATAACAAATTTTATGCTGGTCTATCACAAAACTCCAGCAAAATAAATTAAGATTTGTGATTGCAAGACATTAAAAAAGCTGTTTTAAACCTTAGAAGGCGGCAAATGTATTAAATGCAATTGCAGGTTTTCAAATTGAAGACGTGCACCTTTTAAAATAAAATCTAAATTACTTTTATTTCCAAAAGCAAGCACAAAATAGACAAGCTCCAACAGGTTTGATATGTTCTCCCGAATGCAACTTCGCAATTCAGCAGCAGCCAGAGATGACAGGAAAAGAAATAATTCACTTTAACCCCAATAAACTCCCCGCTATCCTGCATCTGCCTCAGTGGCTGTAATTACGGTCTAAAATGAAAGCCACTTCATATCAAGCTATAGTCAGATGTCAAAGGCTGGCCTTTTTCAGATAGTCACAGAAATGTGCTCAATAATTTTACCAAACCAATCATTTCCAGAAAGCAGAAAAAACATTTCCAAAACATCAATGAACCTGTAAAATCTAGACATATTTGGACAAATTCATACATGATGCGCATTAAAACTTTTAAGTGGATTTAGAAATTTGAACACCATCATTGAGGTCATAAAGGTCTTAGAATAATCTCAGGATGCTTTCTGATTTAGTTAACATTCTTCCATGTTGGCAAGTTGCCAGCATGCCAGGAGAGTCAGTTTAGTGGTTTTCTACCAGTTTGCCAAATAACAAACAAGAATTTTCCTTGGATCACAAAACTGTGATGATTATCAGCACAGGTCACTGTCTTGGGCAAGTGTAGCCCCCAGCATAACCACAGAATCCCCACTTTGTCTCGACACATCATCAGAAGTAAAACTACTGCTTTGACACATTCCTAGCACATCTCATGTTCTCTTCCTGGTATGCGACAAAAGGTAAAGAAAGGATTGAATTCATGCTCAAAGTTTATGAAAAGGTTTTATTTTCATTCATACTTAAACTTAACCCATGAATCAGTGACAAAACAAGGAGTAAAGGACAGAAAAAGCTTGATGTTAAATTATGAACTTTAAATGTAGGAAAATGAGCTCAAGATGGTGTATTTAAGTTTAAATCAGCTTCGCTGAAGAAAATACTAGACAATACAAGAAACAAAGAAATATTTACCAAGCAGGTTATAGCAAACATACATCACAAGCAGTTGTGATAAAGCACAGGATGCCAACAGAAATGGTGAAGGAGTCCAGTACGCTTCAGGTTTAAGTTGACCTTTAAAGAAGAAGAAAAAAAATAACATTAAAGATCAGAACAGAAAACAATTAAGTATCTTTCAAAGAAATCCTAGCTGTTGAACTTTGCCATTATGTACTTAGGCATTTATTGTATCCTCTATCATGATCAAGATTAATTTCTTACAATTTCTTCCATTGGTAAACAATAAAAATTAATGTTTGAAAACTCCAAAAACTCATTGTATTGATAGAGTTGTCACTTTTTTCTATTTAACCAATTTGTTCTATGAGAGCATCCATAAACATTAACACATTCAAAAATAATTAATTGTTTACACTACTGAGTGCAACAGTAGTCCAAATGCAACTGGAAGCTTTTATATATGTAATAATGAATTTGGCTGCATTTTAATCAGGTTTTAACTCATGCGGTCCTGCTGTATATTTACAGCAGGACTTTCAAAGGCAATTCAAATGGGAAAGCTGAAACGCTCTTCTGTGTCTTTCAGCTGTCAAATATTGAAAAGTGGACAAAGAGATACAGATCGGTGTGTCTGCAGCTGGACATGCTCTCTGCAAACATAACGGGTGGGGTGGGGGAGGTGTAAACAGTATGTCTCAATGTGGTTAATTTTCTTTTTTTTAGAAAACTCACTTGGGCTTCGTCTCAGCATCTGTGACCTGACGGATAAAGATGGCGTCCTCTGGGTGGCTGATGTCTCCTTTCTCGTGCATGTAGGACGAGGCAATGGCAAGCATGGTGCCGTCGTTGCTGAAAGCCAGGGAAGCAATGCTAGTTGGGTAGCGGTGGAACTGACACAGGCGCTTTTTGTTGAATGGATCCCAGATATTCACAAAGCCGTCAGAGCCACCTGGAGAGAGGAGAAGCTCAAGGTCAACCTCAGAAGTTTCAAACAGTTAGAATAGAGATTAGGTCTTTATTAGCAGATTGTGACAGGTCGGTGACAAAAGGTCAAAAGAAACTTTTCAAAACAGAATCAGTTTAGCAATATGTTGAAAGAAAAATTGTTTAATTCAAGTTCTAGTAAAAATAAAATTTAATTTAAGGTTTTTTGAGACCATTTTGCTTTAGATATCCGACCTATATAAAACCTGAAAAAAAAAAGTTTATCTAGTTATTTTGGAGTTTTAGGAATCCAAATTGTAATTCCAATGCTTTTACAAATACATCATACCAAAATAGTGGCTTGTAAAGACACTTTACAGCCACAAACCGCAATGCAGTTTGCTGAAAACTCTATGTACCTGTAGCAAAAGTGTTGTGAACACTGTGAAAAGAAATGGCATTGACAGGGTAGACGTGTTCAATTCCTTCCTCCTTTAGCCGATGGCACTTAAAGGCATATTTCTTCTTCTGAACCTCCTGGCTCGGATCCAAGTACTCCACAGCTACTCGGCCTTCGATTGAACTCAACACATAGCCCTGAAGCCAAGATGAAAAACAGAAAGTAAACTGCAATCCAGCTTCATCTCAATAAGAAATATGCATTCATAACAGTAGTTTCAGTTGAGAGCAAATGCTTGAAGAAATTTTATACAGCCTTTCTTTGTCATGCACAAAGTGTACCTGTTTGTTGGGGAAGGCTCTGATGCAACGGGTTTGATACTTGAGGCTGGATTCTCTTCTCTGCTGTACGTAACCCATATTCCGCAAATCCCACACCAACACCCGTCTTCCTGCTGTGCCAACAATCAGCCTGTCTCCGGCCACAGAGAGGGTGTAAACCTTCACAAAAGACAGCAGGTTTAAAACCAGTGAAACGTTAAAGGGAATAAATCTATACAGTTACCTTTAATGTGCTTTGCTACCTTGTCAGGCTGAGTGAAGGTGCCAGCGTTGCAAGGCGTCCGCGGGTCCCACAGTCGTACTGATCTATCCCAGCTGCCCGTTACCATGACGTTAACCTCTGGGCAATATTCCACACAACGAATGGGAGCATCATGTGTTCCCACTATTGTATCTGTGCAAAGAATGAAAGTAAACAAATTTAATAGTTGGTAATACAAAGACACAAAGAAACCAGCAGATGAATAAATTCAACCAAATTTAAAATTGCCTGATTTGTAATCAGAGGCTCAGAAGAGAAAAAGAAATTGTCTGAAATCAGTATGGACAGGTCAGAGCGTGTATCCACGCAGTACATATTTTAAGCTTATAACTCTTAACTTAAAGGATGCTAAAGGTGTACCTTGATCTGTGTTCAAGTCATGAGTCTTTAACTGGGAATCTAAACCTCCACTCCAAGAATGTGTCGGGTCCTGCAAGCAAAACTTGACATTATCCACTTGCATCACACTTGTTGGTCACAGCATTATGTCAAAGACAAGTCAACCTACATAAAAAGCACAATCAAGAACAGGAGCTGTGTGCTGGTACTTCATCCTCATTGTGTTTCCTCCCACATCGTAGAGGCGTACAGTGCAGTCCCATGAGGAAACCAAGAGAAACTGGGCAGTACTGGGGCTGAACTTCACAGCAGAGATGCTGTCTTCTGGCCCCTGGTTTAGCTTGTACTCATTACAGCCTGTCATCTGTGGAAGAGGAGGATAAGGTAAATCTCCTTATCCATAAATATTAGAACGTCAACAACTGATTAGAACAATTTTGGATGTTGATTAAAACAGTTTATAGTTGTCAGATCCATGTAACTAACAGAAACATTAAAAAACACAATCTCTTCCAAAGTTATCTGTAGCAAAGTCTTGATAGTTTATGCATTATTACAGTCATATGGAACATGGAGCAAGATTTAAATCAAAACAACAGAGCAAAAAAAAATTTCAAGGTAGAAAAGGTAAGTAGGCTTACATATTTTTTAAAGCTTACTATGAATCTCTGGCAGATATTTTTACACTTAAGCAACGTTGGAAAAACAAAGCCCGGGAGAGGAAATAAGCATCAATGGACTGATAAACAGATGAACTGGTGAAGGACAATTAGATGGATTAATAAACAGATTAACAAAAGCTTCAGGTTATAGCAAAGGCAGTGAATGAAGTATGTAAGCGTTGTGTTCCACTCGGGGACAGTAAGAGTTTAAGAGTCAATGGCAAAGGCAATTACTTTCCAAAACTCTAAAGAATATTTACGGAATAAATATGACATAAACACAATCTTTAACAAACTCTTGCACACGTTTCTGAGCCATTTGTTTTCCATTTAGCTGGGATTAAAGTCATAACTCTTCTTATACAGCTAGCTCCAGTAATTACACCGAGCCCAGTTCAGCTAGCGCTAGCAAGTGGCTACAAACATTCGTGGTAGCTTTTTCATGTCACTTACCGCTTCCAGTTTCGTGTTTTACAAGCGCGACTGGGTAATATGTCTCGCAGGACTAAGTATTACTACTCAGACCAAATGATTTTTTTAAATACAGTTAGAAAATGCTAGAAACCGAGGCAGTCGCGTGTAGCTAGTTCGCTTGCTAGCACAAGGAACAATATCAACTCACTGATTGGATGACGTTAGCGTTCAAATTGGCGCCTGCAACATTATTGGTTCGCTTTCAAAAGCGAACCAATTGGTTCACTTCTACGTGTATTTCCGTAGAAGCAACACAAATCACGTGACACGAGTCTCCATTTTTTTTCTTCCTAATTTGATTTGCGATTATATGGAAATGAAAAGCAATTTTGATTATTAAAAAATCAAGATGGATTTCAGTATCTGGGTAGCAAAACTTTGGTCTGTAGTGAGTATTAAGTTAGGCACTATATGGATAGACATAAAAAAGTATTCACATTTTTCATGAAGCATTCATATTGTGAATGCAGTATGTATTCTATTACGTGGTATGCTTTGGTGGCAGATCCTGCATATATTAGAATATACCTGATTATCCTGGTTTAGTGAAGCGTGGCTTTCATTCATGAGGACATTTGTAAGCAGTTTCTCATATTAATGTGCTTAGTAAATGTTATGAATATCGTTAAAAACTGTCATACTATCCCATTTAGGTTTTTTTTTTTACAAGACAGAAGTCTCAGTTGAAAAGTAATAATAATTGTGGTCTAGCACAAAGCAGGACTGGTGTTTGTTCCATGATGGTGGAATAACCAGGTGCAACCAGAACAGGGATGTTCCTGTCCAACACATATGACGAGTCGGGAGTGAGAATGTGTTGTCCTGTCTGTCTTCAAGAACCTCTTGATGGCCCAACTCTTCAAGGCCAACCCTATCACTTACCCCGTTCTTCTCTGGCCGTTCAATCTTACTGTCTGTACCAGATTTATACACTATCATCTCTGACATACCCAGAAGTGGTCTTCCTTCTAAGTAGTTTAATATTAAATTCAACCAAATTATGTCTGTAATGTTATTTTAAATTCTACAACATGTTTTATCATTGTGTAATGTCATACAGAGCCTTCATGAGTGAGCTGAACAGCTGCTTAGGATCCCCAAACTTTCAGAGCCTCCCATTAATGCTTAAATCTGAAAACAGAGCATAAATCCAGAATTTTGACATTTGTTGATAAAATAAAATGAAACCGAAAGACAAAGAAGTTTAAGTTCAACCCAATTTTTGAATTATACTTTACTCATTCTAGTTTGTTTGTTTTTTTTCATAATTTTGCTCATCTAACAGTAAAAAAAAAAAATTTTGGTTTGTAATTGTGCCTTGGAATGTTATAAAAAATAGTTTTAAACGTTTTAAAACCTAACCTGACAAAGTAACATGTAATAATTTTCCCTATAATAATCGTGTGACATAGAACAATTTCTCTGAAATTTGACCTAAGCATCAGTGGTATTTCTAAATAAGGTAAAGCTAAATATAATCTTACATTCCTGGAACAGGAAGTCTACCTGCAGTTCTGAACCTATACAATCTTTCTGATAGTGACATATTTAATAAAAAAAAAAAAAAAAAACACTGTCAATATTTTCTGTTGGTTGACCAAACATCTTGAGCTAAACTCAAATCAGAATCTTCTGACTAAAAGTATGTTTCTTGGTGTTTTTTTATTAGAATGTAACCATTAAAACTACAGTTGGAACCTATACTTATTTAACATTTTGTGAATCTTAAGAGTTAACATTTAATACCCCCTCAAGATTCATTTTTACAGTGATATGACAGATTTTGCAATGGTTTTAATTGATTGATTCTTGCTTTTTGTTCTTTTTGTTGCTGTTCAGGAAACTATAATAACAGAATGTTACATAAAAATACATTAATAAAAACAAACAAACAAACAACAACAACAAAATAAACACTAACAGAGGCCTCTAACTCAAAAAAATACCTAACCACAATGCATAATTATCTGCATAAAGAGTAATTAAGACAGGCTATTGCACCCAATTGAAAATGAAGGCTCAAATATTTAACTTGGGACAATGCGCTCCCACCATGGAATTGTTTTTCTAATTTAAATAAGAATAAAGGCATGAAAGTCTTCAGTTTTTATCCAGTTGCATATACTTTGGTACAACTTAAAAAATGATTAAATTGTTTATTTCTTCACAATAATAGCAGATGAGCAAACTTCTTTTGGATGAACTTTACTGAGCTTCGGACTATACAGCATTTTAATATCAGGAAGAAGAAAAAAACAGGCAGAAATCGAGGCTATTTTTTTGGGCTCTTTCGTAGCTTTTAAACTATGTAGCCGTCATAAAAAACTAAACAACAAAAAACAGCAACAACAAAAAAGCAAATAAATGTTTTGTACAGCGTTCAGGTAAAGAATCACATGATTGTCCTCACTATAAAAAAGAGCAATGTTTCGCCTTTTTGAAACTGAGCTGTGACAAAAATAAAAGGCTGACAAGCCAACAGTATTGCACGGTTTAAAGATACTAAAATATTAATTTCCACGTTTTTTTGTTTGTTTTGTTTTTTTGTTTTTGTTTTTTTGTTTTTTTTACAAACACTGACGCAAATTTCAGACAAACGACCCCGTTTAAAACAAGTTCATGTTTCCCCCAAAATTGAATACATTAAAATATTTTTGGGAATGAACAGCAAGATTTTATTTACAATGTTTTTGGTCTTATAATAATAATAATAATAATAATAATAATAATAATAATAATAATAATAATAATAATAATAATAATAATAATATACAAAATGTACAAAATTTGATTATTTTTTTTTCTTTTCAACTGCTCCAGTTTAAAAGCACAAGTACTGTTAAACCGGCCTCAGCAGCGGCGTGGGATGGGAATAGTACATGTGATGGGGGAAAGCCAGCAGTGACTGGCCGCCCGGCGAGTTCGTACCGGGGCTGCCGCTCGCGTCCGAGGCCCCGCTCTCGTGGTAAAGTATCGGCACCCGCACGATCCTCTGAGCCGCTGCGTGGCTCATGTTCGCCGCTTCCAGCTCGGCGGCCAGCTGCCTCTTCCACTTGTTCCTCCGGTTCTGGAACCAGATCTTCACCTGCGTCTCGGTGAGGTGCAGCGACGCGGCCAGGCCGGCGCGCTCCGAGCTGCTCAGGTAGCGCTTGATGTCGAAGGTGGACTCCAGCTGGAACACCTGGCTCCTGGAGAACACCGTGCGCGTCTTCTTCTTGCGACAGGGCTTCTTGTCGGGGTCCAGCTCGTCCGGTTTTCTCTTCCAGTCCTCCTCCGGGTCGGTTTCCTTCTTGGACTCGTCGGCGTCGCTCTCGTCCAGCGCCAGGTCGTCGTCGGCGCTCTCCTCTTTGGCATCTCGGTCGCTTTTTTGGAGGTCCGGCGAGCGCCTGTCTTCTTCCCTCTGGCTGATTTTCCCCGAACCTGCTGAAGGAAAAAAAAATATACATAGGATATATATATATTAAATACACTTTAACACGTGAACATGTTTTTACTGCATAAACTTGGCACGAATCAGTTTGTTTTGTAAATAAATCGGATGAACAGTATGCTATTTCTTTATGAGAGAACATATTATAAGTAGACCGTTTTGCGGAAATTTAGAAAATAAAACGCTAACTTTTTCTCCTTTTTTAGGGAAGAAATATTTACCCGACGCAGTCCTAAAGTGCGCTCCCAGCGTGTATGGATACCACCAGGCAGACGCTCTCTCCAAATACTGCGCTGACAGTCCGATCCTCTGCCCGGGCAGCTCAAATCTGGGCAGAGACAGATCGCTGAGCCTGGAGAAAAACGTGCCTTCAAAGACTTTGGAGGACCCGAGGGCGGGTGCTTGCTTCGAGGGTTTGTCTTCGATGTTGAGCAGGTTCTTGATGGAAAACGGCGAATCCTTTGCGGCTTGGCGAGTCTCCTGCGTGTCAGATTCTGCCATTACCGCTTATTGTCCGATATGAAGGACCATCAACAAGTTCTGGAGGTAGAAACAGTTAAAACATTTATTTCCAACTTGTTGTCGATTGTAAGAAAATCTACCAAAGAGGAGGATGTAAAAGAAAAAAAAGAAGAAGAAGTTGCGTCCCGGCCTCTCCAGAGGATGATTTGGAGTGAAAAAGCGCAGGGATCACTGCGTCAAACTCGCGCTGTATTGTAATGACGGAGAATGGAAATGCCATCTGACTTAAAGCGCGCTCGGTCTCTGCTATTGGGTAGGTACAATAGCAAATGAGAAACGCGAAGGGGGCTGTGACGGGAACAGGATCCAAACAGAAGAAGAAGGCCGCGCAAGCGTTTTGGCTCCGGGCTCAATAGTAACTCACCCACTTATCATCCAATTAGGTTAAAGAGGAAAATCTCTCTGGGTTTTGGTGCGGGCTCGGGAGGCCGCGCGCAAACCACAATCACCTGGCAGTAAATTGAGTAAACGTGGATGACACAGAGAAGGTTTGGTTTGTAAATTCCGTGTTCACACATTTACGCACAGCGTCACCAAAGGAGTTTAAAAGAGTATTCAAAGAACTTCACCAAGCAACACATCAAACTTCATTTGATAACAACTCTCACTGTTTATCGGAGTCCCAAAACATTGGGAATTACTCTTTAGCCTTTTCCAGACTCCGAGTTCTCTAATATATTTCTTCCATAATGCTGGTTTTTCAGATCGTTGTCATGTCAACAGACAGATACTGAAAGTGTTTGGTTGATTCTACAGGTCAGCCAATAATTAGGCATTGTGTCACTTCTGAAATCAACCAATATAAATCATATGTCATATATTTTGTGATTTAATAGGGACAGGTACGTTTGGATAACATTTTCATTGTCCTTTAATAAATTGAAACCTTTTATAAAGTTTATTTTTAAAGCCTTTACTTGTTGTGAAATCTTGCTGTGGAATATTTAATTACCAAGCTATGTTTTTGCTGAAAAACAGGACGTCTGGACAGTGTCTTCAAAAGCACAAAAAAAACAAAAAGCCATTAAATAATTACTGATTTCATTTGTTAAAGTGGTATCTGTTCTGATGCAGGCTGTGGTTCATCTGTTCCACCTTCAGCAGAGAAATATGTGCAGTTTACCTGGACCAGAGCTTATTGACTTCAGTGTAATTTTATTAGGCAGGAAACGCTGCAGGCGAGTTACAAACTGAATGCCTTCCATCCTGATAAAGCCCTTTCAGGTCAGCTTTGGACTAAAAACCCCAACAGGTGACCTAATGCGAATGACAACAGTATACAATGTCCTGGTGAAATGTAAAAGCACATGAATGAAGCAGATGACATTTGTGGAATGAAACACGTGGGGCTGAATCCTATTTCGTAGGGCTATCCGTCCCCTACAGCACTCCTCTGGTCCATTGGTGCTGATCTAAGAGGCTGAAAGGTTCCACAGTGAAATGGGACACTCCTTTAAGAAGCTGAGCAAGAAACTGATTTCTTGGATATGTGACTAATGATGCAGAGCTGTTAAATAAAAGCAGTGAACAAAAATGATCATTCTTGTCTTATTAATTAAAAACTCACTTCAAAACTTCTGTGGTAAATAGATTAAAAACACACAGAACTATAAATTGCAAACATTTATTTATTTTTAATTATCACAATTATGACCTAACAGCTAAAGAAAAGCAAAGATTGAATTTTTCAGAAAATGTCATTATTATAAGAATTTCTTTTACAGAAAAGCCTGCCCTCTGAAAAGTATGTATGCAATGCAGAGCATAAATGCACTCAGTATTTGGTTGGGGATCCTTTTATAGGAAGCACTGCATCAATGCGGCATGGCGTGGAGGCAATCAACCTATTTGTCTGCTGAGTTGTTAAAGCAACCCAGTTTGCTTAAATAGCAACCTTGATTTTGATTCTGTGCCCCAGCGTTCATTCAGCTCTCTAAAGCCCAGTTCAGACATTAGATATTGATTTTCAGATTAAATGTATAATTAACTTTAATCTGAAAAGAGAATTTTGAATCAAAGAGTTCAATGCTTTTTAAAATTCTTAATCTAGGTAAAGGCGTTTGACCTTGTCTCTCGCTCTTGAGAGGGATGCCAAAGAAGTAAACCATGTCCAGATTTATATAGGTGTGTGGTGCATCTTGCTTTGTAAATCTCCCCAAGAACTCTTAAACTGGCTTTGCTTCACAATCTTCTCATGGGTGCAGTTTTTATGCATTTTTTTCCTTCCACTCAACTTTACATAATAACAAAATCCTCTGTTCTCACTTAAGCAGTGACTTAAATTTAGGAATAAGAAGAGCTTTTTTAGCCATTCGTTTTGGTTTGATTAGAAAACACATAGCTGTGTGATAATCTACACAATCAAATAGTTGATATTGTAAAAAGATTTTATTTTGAAAAATGTTTCACACTTGGTATTTTTCATGAATAAATCCACTGGTACTTGGAATGCCTCACACTGGACATTTGAGTGGGTAATAGGCCAATTAAAACACATTAGCTGAGAAAATGTTTATTTTTGTGAGTGTATTTGCAAACATGTCTCAGCTTTTAAGTTTTTTTTTTTAAACCGTTTCCATGTAGCTTCCCCCTACATTAATGCTTGGGATGTCCTAAAAATGTAAGAAATGAACAGCTAAGTGCTCACAATGAGTGGAAAGAGGTGAAATGTGATTTTTGGTGGTGAGATTAATGTAGATGTTTTCTGTTTTAATTCATGTCACCATGCAGGAAGAGGATATCTGTACTCATTTATATTATCCGAACTAATTTATATTATTACTTAAGAAAAAGTGGTAAAAAAAAATCAAATCCACAAAGCACTGCATTTGTCATTTAAACCAAACCAGTAGCAGACGAAGAGAATTAATCAGCCAAATTGAATTTGCTCAACCTGCATGCACACAGCCTGTCCTTTTAACTCGTCGAGCGCTCTCCAACGCAAAAGGACAACACAGTGTTTTGTGAAAAGCTACTTGAATCCTTGCATAATTAGAGGTCTCATAGCTGTGTTGAAGATGGGGGTGGAGAAAAGAGGCTTGCTGAGCTGCATTTAGAAAGGCAAAGTGAAAAGCAGTTGTGTGTTTTCAGGAGATTGTGTTCACCGAACAGACAGCTGAGAACGGATCAGAGGAGAGAAGCGAGTAATCGGTGGCGCAAAATGGAGGCCAGATTTGATGTGAGAATTTTGAAAACAACTCAGAGTTCTGGAGTTTGTCTGTTCCACACATGAACATGCTTTGATTTAAACCATTCCAATGTGCAACATATGTTTGTTTGTATATACCTGATCTTCTGGTTGAAGTGTAACCACCTCAAGTCTTTTACAGCCTTTGCAGGTTTTCTCCCTGGGTTACCCAGAAATTAATCAACTCCATCAATCTTCCCATGAACTCTGACCAGAGCACCTTCTTAAACAAATTGGCCATGTCCCTAATAAAGCTCGTAGTGCCAAGGGGACTTCTTGTGCCTGCCTTCAACCTTTACACGCAGGTTTGTAGATTACACAAATAATAGTCATCCTCCCAACTGAGCAGTGGACTTCTGCAGCTCCTCTTGAGTCACCATGGACCTATTGGCTGCTTCTCTCATTAAACTTCTCCTGGTCTGTCAGTTTAGGAGATTTAACAGTGGTTGGTGAGATCTTCGAAGCTTTGTTTATTCTTTTTAAAACCCAACCCTGCTTTAATCCTCCCCACAAATGAATGTCTGATCCACTGGCTGTGTTTCTTGGACTTCACGCTGTTTGCCTGCTTATGTTCTCTCACAAACCTCTAAGGCTCCATGCATTTTTGAAGGGTGTTCTTTTTAACGTCAGACGGGACGTTCTTGCAAGAAACATTATAATTCCTGTTAAGTGTTTGCATGTTCTATCTGGGTCTGTGTTCTTCGGGAACAGCCCGTTGCTTAAACAATAGAGCTTATTCTGAGCGGCTCGACGCAGGCTGCGGAAATTTAATTAGCCTCAGCTACAAAATGATCAGTGAGTGAATTATGCAACGCAGGCTCTTTTCATCTGAAGCATCGGGATAATTAAGCTGATATAAAATATCATTAGAGGTGACAGGCTGTTAAAAGACACAATAATTGATTGGTCTCTCATTGAGGAGCTGCCTCCGCAAACAGAGTGGCCGAGCTTGTTTTGGCGAAGTGCTGCCATCTAGCGTAAATATTTGGCATCGGCTTTCAGTCGCGGTTTCAAATGCCAGACTTTCCCATGACTCAAATTTCGTGTTCCCAGTCCATAATGCAAAATTTGCTTCACCGGGAATATTTGACGGTTGTTATACTGTAATTAAAGTGTAATCAGTTCATTACAAAACCTGCGAAAACATACTGAAGGAAAGACGGATGAACTGGTAGAAGGTGGTGGAAAGACGACTTAAAAACATCAAATTGGTGAGAAGAAGATGTTCATCAATTACAATAGGTAATTGAGAAACAGATGAATGAGAGAGAAAATGTTGGGCAAATGATTAGAAAGGGAAAGACATGGATAATGGACAACATGAATGATATAACAAGGACAAACTGATTGGCAATATAAAGCTGGACGGAAGCTTTATATAGCATTTTATTTTGAAAAAGTAGAGTTTTGGACTCTCAGATACATGGACAAGACTCCTGTGACTATAGAGACAAATGAGTTTAGGCTACAGATTGATGATGCGTACATTTTTTTCCCTCTCCATATTGAACTCAACCACAGTAAAGATGGCACAGAGACAGGTCATATATTAGCATGTTATGGAAGTTTTTATTATAATGTAAAATCAGTCAGCTTACATTATGTAAGGAAACAAACCACAGTCCAACCGCTGAAGACAAAATTCTCTGAAGGCACTGAATCATTTGAAGAATAACTTGATCAAACTCAAACATTCAAACTTATGTTCTAACACTTGGGGATGTTGCGCTCGCAAAACTGATCAATAGACATCAACATACGCAACAAATGTGGTAGAGACACGATACTGTGAAGGCTTAAAAGTGACCAATCGCCTTTCTGCACTGATTTGGGAAAATGTCATGCAGAAAATGCCAAAACAACTCAACTTTAAACCTTAAAGAATTCGTGACATCAGTTATAGGAACTACTTTGTAACGTTACAACAAAAACCCTATTAGAATAGTTCTACAACAACACAATTCTCCAGGGTTGAATCATCGCAAAAATGACAAGAT